TGTTTTATAATAATTCAAGATGGCAGATTGATAAAATCATTATTTTATATATTATAAGAATATTGTACTTCTTCAAAATTATTTTCATCATTTTAATTCAATTATTATTTTCAAGAATTTTTTACTAAAATTCTTCTTTAAATCAATTAATTTTCAAAAAAGGTCTCTGACAATTTTCAAATCCATTGGTATACAATATTCAATTTTACGAATTTCAATTATTCGTAAATTCTTCAGTTAAATATATATTAGGAAATAAAAACTTCAAATAATATAAAAAAAATTTAATTACACTTTCTCCAAAAAATTAATTTCAAAATTCAATTTTTTCTAAAAATTCATGCTATACTGCTTTTAATATTCAATTATTATCTAAAACTTTAACTGAAATAAATAAATTTTTATTAGAAAATTCTACTAGAATTCAATTATTAATGAAGAAAAATAAATAATTTAATGATTCTTAAAATTCAATTCTAATAAAGAATTTTATCAACAAACTTTTAAATAATTGAATTAAAATTATTTTAAAAATAATTGAAATTCTGCGATGAGTTTTATGATTTATGAAAATAATTGAATTTTATTATTTTTGAACATAATTAAATTTGAAAACAATATTGAATTTTTGCAATAAATTGTAATTGTGCCAAAATAAATTTTTTTTAGTGTTTGTAACTAAAACTTTTCTATGAATTTCATTATCAATATTAATAATCGTTGTATTCCGATAATTTGTTTCCTAACTTTTTTAATCATTTTTCTTTTCAAATATTTTCAATTTTAAAATTATTCTATTGCAAATCATTGAATTCCTTTGAAGAATTTTAGTATTTTTAAAAATAATTGAATTCTTTCGAAAAATGTTATCAGAATTTTTTAAAAATAATTGAATTTATTTAATATTCTTCGATTTAGATTGATTGTTTTTAATAATTTTCAAATCCATTTGTTTACAATATTCAATTTTACGAAATTTCAATTATTCGTCAATTCTTCAATTAAATATATATTAGAAAATAAAAACTTTAAATAATATAAAGAAAATTCAATTAAACTTTTTCAAACAAATTAATTACAAAATTCAATTATTTCTCAAATTTCATGCTGTATTGCTTTTAATATTCAATTATCTAAATTTTTAACTGAAATTATTTTTTAAATCAATTTTTAGTAGAAATTTCAACGAGAATTCAATTAATTTGATTTCAAATAAAATGCAAATAAATAATTTATTGAATAATTGAATGTTTCTTAAAATCAATTCCCATAAAGATTTTTATCAACAAATTTTTTAACAATTCAATTCTTTCGACGAATTTTAATAAAATTTAAAAGAATAATTACATTTTTCGAGAAATTCGATTAAAATTGTACCTATTAAAAATAATTAAAATTCTGCAATAAGTTTTATTATCTCTGAAAATAATTGAATTCCTAAAAAGAATTTTATTACTTTTGAACAATATTTCATTTTTGCGAAGAATATTATAATAAATGATATTTTTTGAGGAATTCAATTAAAATTGTATTAAAAATAATTCAAATTCTGTAATGAGTTTTATTGTTTATGAAAATAATTGAATTCTTAAAAAGAATTTTATTATTTACGAAAATAATTGAATCCCCGTAAATTTTTTATTTTTTTTTGAAAATAATTCAATGATTGCGAAGAAATTTATTCAAAAAATTTTTAAATAATGAATTTCCTGTAATAATTATATTTTTTTTCGTGTTTTCAACTAAAATTCTTCTAAAAATGCATTATTTTCAATAGTTTTTAAAAAAGTTCTTTGATAATTTTCAAATTCATTTGTTTTTAACTGAAATTCATTTTTAAATCAATTTTTATTAGAAAATTCTACGAGAATTCAATTATTTAAATACAAAAATAAATAATTGAATGTTTTTTAAAATTGAATTCTTATACATAATTTTATCAACAAATTTATAAATAATTGAATTCTTTTGAGAAGTTGTAATAAAATTTTTAATTTTTTTACATTTTTCGAGGAATTTGATTAAAATTTTATTAAAATAATTGAATCTTTGCAATGAGTTTTATTATTTACAAAAATAATTGAATCATTGAAAAAAATTGTATTGTTTATAAAAATAATTAAATCTTTGCGTAGAATTTTATTAAAATTTTTAAAATTTAAAAAAGTTTTTTTAAATAATTGAATTCTTTTGGAAATTTTATTAAAATTTAATAAATATTGAAAATCATTGAATTGGGGAAAATTTTTGGAAATAATTGAAATTTTACTAAGAATTTTATTAAAAAGTTTTGAAAATAATTGAATTTTGGAGAAGAATTATTTTCTGCAATCATTTGTAATTTCTCTATAACCTTTTTTTTAAAAAAAAACTGACTTTTACGGACTTGAAGCAAATTTACGGGATTTACGGACCTAGTTCGAGTCCCGCAATGAGAATCTTCCCTTAACTTAAATTTTGTTTAGTAATAATTCAAATGTTTAATTTCACTTCAATTATGATTACATAAAATTTATTTTTAAAGTTAGAAAAATTTAATTGAAAACATAGATACCTTTAGCTATTTAAATAAAATGAAAATTTTAGAAAGAATAAAAATTTTATAAAAGTATGTACATTATGAAAATATTTAAAAAATTTATCATGTGATTCATATAGAATAGTATTAATATCAAAGTTACTTAAGATAATGTGATTAAAATCCCTAGTGATTACAAGAGCCCAATTATTTTCAAATTAAAAAATTATATTTTTCTATAATAATGTTTAGTAGTGATAAATTTTATTTCGAGTATGTTAGATATTTCAAAGAGTTTATTGAAATGTTGAAACCCAATTTATTCATTATGATTATTAATTGTATTTTCTTTTCTCTAAAATATGTGAAAAATATTGATGTGTTATAATAAATATTAGAATTAGATTATAGATTTAATAAAAAGTGTGCGTTTTAGTTTTGAAGGTTCTTTAAAATTACTTAATGATTTTAAAATCTTTTAAACCTAGTGAGGTCAGATATAAAAAAATTGAGATTTTCTTTTAAATGATAAATCTTTGTCATTTTTAAAGAGCTTTCTGTACAAAAAGAAAAATTAATATTTTGGAGATTGCGAATTAGTACCTACTTCAAAGGAAGTAAAAAATTATCAATTCAATTAAGAATGTGAAGTTGAATTTTAGGACAATTAGAATTTTATCGTAGTAATTGTAATTACAAGATAATTTTTATATTCAATCGTTTCTGTTTTTTTTAATAAAAGTTTTAATTATTCTTAACGAATGAAAGTAGTGCGCGAACTCAATTAATTGTTAAGGGGCCAAATTGAAAATAAATTAAAGGGAATTGAAAATAGTAAAGTAATTTTAATTATAACATCTTAAATATTAAAAGTGTAGGTTTAGAATATTAATTTTTGAATTGAGCCGTAAAACAGAAACGATTGATAAAAATTTTATTTGTCAAATAAGACTGTTGTTAAAAGCGTATCATTTTATAAATTCTATGATACAATCGAAAAAACAAAAATGAATAATTGATACGATATAACTTTTAAAATTATGAAACTCAAATTCTCAACAAGAAAAAAAATCTAAAAATCTAAAACGTGTTTTAGAGAAAAATTTTTATACGAATTTAGCTTATAAAAAATATATTGAATATTTTCCATTAGATTGTTAAGCTTAACAGCGGTACAAAAATTTGAAAAGAGCCCTGTGCCAAATATCATTTGAATATGAATATTCTTCAATTTTTATTTTTGACGAAAACAAAATTCAAAATCACTTTTATCTTCAAGTGAAACAAAATTTATCCCCTTGAAATCTTAGCGCCACCTGCCAGTAGCGTCAGTAACTAATGACACTATTGCCAATAAACGCTAATCTTGATATTTACATAGAATTTAATATTTAAAAAGATGAATAAAAAATTAAAATTGAGGAATATTGACGTTCAGTTAAAATAAATTAATTTCTAAAAATACAAAGGAAAAAAAAGAAAGTCTTTTTAACAAATAGATGCTAATAATAACTGATGTTATTGTACCACTGTTACTTGATTGTTAAGTAGTTAATCGTTGATGTGCGAAATCTTTATATACCTTCAAAGAATGTGTTCCACCCTTGGAGTTGTTAGAAAGGAAATATTAAAGTTCTTATTGTAAATAAAAAGTCTCTCTTTTTGTATTTAAAAAAAAAATTCATTTATACATATAGAAGATTTTAAAGGTAGGTACTACTTTCTTTACGCCTCTAGATCTCCGTCTTTTTTTTCTCTCACTTTTTCATCCCTTTATTTAGAAGACATTTAACGGCAATGCATTTCTTATGGTTGAAGTTCCTGCATTGGCCGTTAAAAAAAAAAAAATTTGTTATTCTTGTTCGATTATACTTTGAAATAGATGGAGAAAAATAATTCTTAAAAAAAAATTCCGACAATTCCAGAGGTGGACAAAATTTAATAATTATGAAAGAGAAACGCTAATACGCTTACGACCGGAATACAATTTTTTTTAAAGTTTTTTCTAACAATTAAAAAGTTTTGTCAATTTTGTAAAATTAATTTTTTATCTGATGGAATTAATTTACCCATAAGAAATGTACTATGGCTTTTTGTCATTTATATTCCAGTCCTGAGTAGTTTGCATGTTCCCTTTTATTCGTTTCTCTTTCTGTTGAAAAAATCCCTTTATTTTCGCAAATAATTTTTATTTACAAAAGATTGGTTTATTATGTCAATTGAAACAGTGAAAATTTTGTTGGTTTGCATTTTGAATGATGCTTTTATCTCACCGGTAACAAGATAGCGTTCTTTGACTCAATATTCAAAGACGAGTATGAAATATTGTCTTGATTTTATTAATTGCACTGTTTTTTTTTTAATAATTGTTGAATTGTTGAAAAAAGAAAGCACGTGCAGTAATTTAACATTATATTTATAAACATTAATAACTTGTAACTTTTTACTCATCTTGTTCTTTTTTTTGTTTTCTGTAAAATAGAAATCGTCGAGGAACAAGAAGGCAAAGAGAACTTCGACTTTCTTCAGCTACTACAATTTCTCATGGACGAGGAACTACCGAATCTGCCACCTGGTGGAGGACTTGCTGCAAAGTAAGTTTTTGATTTGTTTTCCATCAACAGGCTTCACGGTCTGTCACCTATTTCCCTAAAAGTCCCCTTTTTTTAATTTTGGCCCCTAAACGAACCCTATTTTGAAAATTTCCCCTAAATTCCCCCTATTTTTTTCTTTTATCTTTTAATGATGAATTTACACCAAATTTAGTAAAGTGCCGTTGAAACTTTCAATTGGACACTTTTGGGGCGAGGGGGGGGGGGGTTAAAAAAAGTTTGAAAATGTCCACGATCCCATGTATTTTTGTGTCAAAAATCTTTGAAAAACTGTCCACGTGGTATATGGACGACCCCTTATGATCGATGAAATTTTTCATGAAATTTATAAAATTTGTAAGATTAGCATCCCAGAGAGCACGTAACCTTGCAGCAATATTGCTGCAATATTAAAGTGCAATATTGGCAATATTGCCGTGTAACATTACTGCAAGGTTGTCATAATGTTAAAATGTCCCACCATTGCGAGTTGCACAGATGTTTGTATTCTTTAAGCGGCTTATTTTGTTAAATAAATTATTAAACCTATTATTATTAAAAAAAATTATTAAAACTAATAAATTATTTTTTCTCAAATTAACTTTTATCCAGTTTGAAAAACCAAATGGTAAAATTTGCAGATCCCAAAACTGCCAAAGCTTCAACCTATAATAAAAATAAGACAATTTTTTTAAAGGAACATATATAATTATTTATATTTATAATTTTTATAATTAAAAGTTGACGATTTAAAATTTTTTAAATTCACTGTTTATTAAAATTTCCCGTACATTACCAGTTTTCTTTGTCGCTTGCCATCTTGTAATTATTTTTATTCAAATCTTGAATATTTAAAATTCCTCAAAAAAAGTTGTACATTATAATCAGAAACAAATTAATTGTAAAACTTGCAATTTAATTATTATTAAAAATCTTAACTTTACCTTTCCTATAATTCAATTATGAAAAGCATTTTTAATTAAAAAATTCTCTAAAATCTAATGATTGTTTTTTGAAATTCTAAAAAATCTTAGCAATTCGAGTTTACAATTTCAATTCATTATTTACAGAAATTTCTTTAGTTCTTAACATTTAAACAAAATATAAATGTTAAAATAATTAAGCAAAAAAGAAATGGAATACAGTATAGGTCTTTTAACTTACCATAGAACTAAAGTACTTCTAGCAGTGTAATACTTGTAATTCGGTCTACTGATAGGATCACTGCCCAAATATCTACGAACTTGATCAGTTTTCATCTGTTAGCATCTGATTTTTAGAAACTGGAATTTCTGAAAACAAAATGAATTTTTAGAAAAGCTGTTTTGATTGTTAATTAAATTAAACCTTATTGAGGAGGCTAAATATTAAAAATGATTTAAATAATTATAGCTTAATATTTTCATTCACTAATTAAAACTTCTTTAAAAATTAATGTGATTTCAGAAAAAAAAATACTTAAAAATATTTCATGTTTACGTCATCAATTTAATGATGGCGAGTGTCGCAGAGGAAGCAAAATTATCCCTTCATTGCTTGGTATTCGCCATAATTTTGCTTTTAGGTTTTTAATAGAGGTTGAGAATTCTGCCCTTTTTGAGTCCGTTGCCATGTAGATATTAATGTCCCTTGAATCCGGATTATCATATACGTTGCTGGTTTTTTTTAAATGGCTTAACAATGAAGAAGATTTCATTAATGTTAGTCAAAACAATATTATTTACTTTTACAAAAGTATTATCTTTTAATAAAATACAACTGTCCTTAGTTGCTGTACAATCAATCGTAAATTCCTTGTGCTTTAATACTTTATATTGATTTTTAATATTTAAACAATTCTTAGTTAATGGCCCACTGTTGTGTGAATTCAATAAAGCGAATGGTTTTTCCATTTGGGAATGCTCAACTTTTTCACGCTCAGAATACCGACGAGCGATTTGTTCCAAAGGTTTATGACCTTTTCTTATCATTCTCTTAAAAGAAGACATCTCATTTTCAAACTTGAAAGCACTGAATTCATCAAGAGCTCCATACTTTTTTTCGTCTTCACAGATGTGCAATAGATTATGCACATTATGGAATCCAAGAACGAATTTTTGCAACATTTTGTGACATTTATTTATATTATCTGGAACCTTGACAAGACTTTCATTTACTAGAATTGACGTTGCAGTATATGCAGTAGTAAAAAATTATCGTACATTTCTGAGTTTAAATTATTTTTCAGTGCTATTGGACCTGTATATAGAAGAAATGTTCTCAATTCAGTGGCCTTCCAATGAATAAACTCTAGCAGTGAACGAGGCTTCCTATTAAACTCCATTGGTATACTTTTTTTTAAAATTGACAATATTTTCGAGATTCTATTGACATCTGATGCTGCCAATTTTGGACCCATTACCCAAAGACGGATAAGTTTTTTCATAATTCCTAATAACATAAGGTGCATATAATCTAGTGGGATTGATGTTATACAACCAAATTTCGGAACTTTTTTTAGAATGGTTTCCTTCGAAGATTCATATTCTTTATATGCATTTTGAGCAAATCCTTTGTCGGTTTTCATTTGAAAAGGTCCAGTCCCAGGAAAGCAAACGGTTCCTTTTCGTTTCTTCCCATTGCGTTTATTTTTTCGATACTAATAATATTCACCCTTTATAAGACATTTTGTACAACTATTATATCCAGTATGTCCTTTGAGATATAGAATGAAAGATTTTGCAGGAGCGTCGCAAATTATAGCAGAACAAGATATTGAGATCTGGTTATCTTTCAAGCCATTTTTAATTAAATGAATTAATTCTTGGACAAATTCTTCCATAAACTCATTAGCATCCATTGGTTTTTTCTTCCCATAAAATGCGGCAACTAAATAAACTTTTTTTGTGTTTTGTTCTGAACACAAAATTAACCACAATCCTTCAGTTCCAGAACGTGAAATTGGTACACCATCGATATTAAACGTTAAATCTTAAATTCAGTTGCGTTACTTCTTTTTTTTCTCTGGAATAATCGCGAAGGATAGCATTTACTGCTTTTTCCAGGCCGCAGTAATAGTATTCTCCTCGACCTAATTCAGAGATTTTAAAGTCCCTTATTGTTCCCATTAACGTTCTGGCATCTAATGGCATGTAGAATGGAAAAAATGGTTTCAATATTAGAAGTAAAGCTGTTAATGCTCTTAGGGTCAGATTCAGAATCCACAGAGAAACAATCATCAACGTAATCGTCGTCAAACATTGAGCTTCCACAGCTCTCATCGAAATCTAATGTCTGATTATCATCCACATGATATTCCTCTCTATATAAAAAGGAGTTACAAATCAATTCACTGGTAAAATTTATTAAATTTGGGGTAGTAGCAATTCTACGCAAATAAACCCTGAAAAAAAAATTCTATACACAATACGCAAATAAGTTACACAGGAAAATATTCTACACATTATAATTAAAGAAAACAAAATATTTTATTGAATTATTTTTATTTTACGTGGTCAAATCTTATCTATCTATTATATGTGGACGTCCACATGAAAAGGGCCCATTGGCCACCATTGGCACTATTGGAGTTATCTATATGGGCGTATTCCTGGCAAAATTTGGAAAATATTGAGTGGTCTTAGAACTTTTTTGGTTAAAAATTCGCTGAGTTACGGAATTTCAAAGTTTAGAACGCCAAAAACCTTATTTCGAGAAAAACGGAATTAAAGATTGCGATACCAACTAATTGTTGTATCTCTGGTTCTTCTTGAAAGTTATTCAGATAAGAATTGTTTCCAGTTCAGGGCACCTTGAAAACAAAAAACCAACAGGTTTTAAATTTTTAAAACCACTACCCCCCCCCCTTCTAATTTTGAAAATACGAAAAATCGACAATATGGGGCCTTTTCTAAAAAGGACAGTTTTTCTATTAAAAGCCCATTTTTTTACAAGATTAATGATTAGGTACAATTTCATTGTGTCATTTGAAGAAAAGAATAGATATTAAACTTATTTAAAATTTTTTGACAGTCCGAATTATAAAAAAATTGACGCAATATCCAAATATTCATTTCGATAATTACGAAAAAAAAGACTCTTACATCCTTAACTCTGGCTCTTCTGGGAAGTTATTCAGATAAGAATTGTTTACATTCCAGGACACCTTAAAGATGAAAAATCAAGAGGTTTTAAATTTTTCCACATTTACATTTTTAAAATACGGATTACTTTTGCAAATTACCGACAAAATGGGCCCTTTTCATTTTTCTAAAGAACCAATGAAATCAAACAGTTAAATTATCGATAAAAAATTATTATTATTATTATTATAATTACAGTCGGGCCGCAGAACTGTACGGTACCCCAGAAATAACCCCTCCACTTGATTTCAAACTGTACGCTGACGAACTCATCCCCACTATTTAATTTTCAGGACTGTACACAGTCTTTAAGGAGCATTTAAGGAGCAAGTTTTCAAAAGTTGATAAATATAATTTTTTTAAAATCGAGATAAACATAAATATAATAATTTAAATATCTCACAAATCGTCATGTTTCTGTTAAATTTAAAAAAAATTTATTAACAGCGAATTTTCAATTTAAAAACTTTTTGACATAACCAAGTTGACTTTTAATTTTTATGTTTGTTATTAGAACAAATTACCAAAACCTTAAAGTTACTTTATTATGTGAAAGTTTGATTAAAAACAGAACGTATTAAATATAAAAACATTGTTACAAACATTAAATATTACAAATTTTTTATTTTGAAATTAACTGAGTGGTTATGTCAGGAAAGTCATTTATTTCGATTTCTCGAAATAATAAGGAAATAGGAATTTATCAAGTTTTGAAAACTTGTTGCTCTTCATTTATCGTCTGGGACTATAATATACATAATTTTAGATTTAAAATTAATTAAAATCATAAAAATATATATACTATTCTTAAAATTATAAATGTTAGAAAAATTAACATTTTTTAACCGAAATGTATTGCCTCATAAAATTAAAAGAAGTCCACTGATTTATCCAAATTATGGAAAAGAAAATAATTTGATTAAATCAGTAAATTTATTTTTAATTTTAAGGAAGAATTTGACAAACAATCGGAACAAAAGTTAGTCCAATGTCATAATTTCGTATTTAAAAAAAAAGTCAAATTAAATTTTAAATTCCTTTTGGTAAAAGCGTAAGGAATTTAATGTTCTAAATTTTGAACATTTTACATATATATTTGAATAAAAATGATAATTTTTTGTCAATAATGAATGATTTAAGTAACATAACCTAAAATTTAACAAATGTTTCTTATTGACAGAAAATTGTAATTTTTATTCAAATGAAACTTTTAATCGTTTTAAATATTCAAAATTAAATTCTTCGCCTTTCCAACAAGACGAATTTAAAATTTAATTTGTTTTTTTTAAATTGCGAAATTATGACATTGGAATAACTTTTGATTTGACTGTCCGTCAGATTCTTCCTTAAAAGGCAACATTTTCAAATATACGGCACTGAATTTAGTAGCGCCACCGTACACTGTGGAGAACTTAAAAACTAAAGCCAGCGTACACTTTGGCGACAGCGTACAGTTTGAAAGCGTACAGTTCGGAGGCCCGACTGTATCGATAAATTACGTGCTCTCTGGGATTTTGGTGAAGTCATGTCTCAATTATGTTTAGAAGTTGGTTGTTTTTTTAATATTATTTAATTATTACAAAAGTTTTAATGCAATTATCTTTACAAATAACAAAATTTTTCGACAAAAATTCAATTATTTTCAAAAATTTTAATAAAAATCTTTGCAAAAGTTCAATTATTTTTAAAAGTTTTTTGGAATTCAATAATTTTCAATATTTCCTATTTTCATAAAATTTATCAACAGATTTAATTAGAGAAAAAACTTTTTGATACAATTCTACGAAAAGATTCAATTATTTTCATAAATAATAAAATTTTATTTACGAATTCAATTATTTTCATCGCAGAATTTCAAATATTTTTAATACAATTTTAAATAAAATGATTGAAAATTGCATTCATTGTTAAAGTGTTTTTTTTAAATTCACCGAAAGAATTAAAGTATTTTTTAAAAATTTTGATAAATTTCTTCATAAAAATTCAACTTTAAGAAATATTCAATTATTTAATAAATTATTTATTTTTGTATTTAAATAGTTGAATTCTCGAAAAATTTTCTACTAAAAATTGATTAAAAAAATGAATTTTACTTAAAATTTTAAATTATAATATTGAATATTAAAAGCATTATAATAACATTTGTACAGGGATTCAGAATTCAATTAATTTCATAAGTAATAAAACTCATTGCAGAATTTCAATTATTTTTAATATAATTTTAATCGAATTCAGTTATTTAAAAATTTATAGATAAAATTCTTTATGAGAATTCAATTTTAGGAAACATGCAATTATTCAATAAATTGTTATTTTTGTATTTAAATAATTGAATTCTAGTTAGAATTTTCTAATAAACATTATGATTTAAAAATGGATTACAGTTAAAATTTTAGATTATAATTAAATATTAAAAGCATTAGAGCGTAAATTTTTAGAAATAATTGAATTTTGAAAAGGTTTCAGATTAGAATTTTTGAAAATTTGAATTTTTCATATTTTTAACTAACAATTCTGTGGACTTAATTTTTTTTGAGAAACTTTAATTGCGGATTTTTTTTTTGAAATTATTTAAAGTCTTTATTTTCTAATATATATTCAATTAAAGAATTTACGAATAATTGAAATTCGTAAAATTGAATATTGTATACCAATGGATTTGAAAATTGTCAGAGACCTTTTTTGAAAATTATTAAAAAATAATGCATTTATAGAAGAATTTTAGTTAAAAACACGAAAAAAATTCAATTTTGTAAAAGTTGGAAATCATTGCAGAACTTCAATTATTTTCAAGAGTAATAATATTCTTCGCAAAATTTAAAAATATTGTTCAAAAGTAATAAAATTCTTCTTAGGAATTTAATTATTTTCAGAAATAATAAAAATTATTGCAGAATTTTAATTATTTTTAATACAATTTTAATCGAATTTCTCGAAAAATGTAATTATTCTTTTAAATTTTATTAAAATTCGTCGATAGAATTGAATTATTAAAAAATTTATTCATAAAAATCTTTATGGGAATTGATTTTTAAAAAACATTCAATTATTCAATAAATTATCTATGTTTGTATTTTATTTGTATTCAAATTAATTGAATTCTCGTTGAAATTTCTACTAAAAATTGATTTAAAAATTAATTTCAGTTAAAATTTTAGATAATTGAATATTAAAAGCAATACAGCGTGAATTTTGAGAAATAATTGAATTTTGTAATTAATTTGTTTGAAAAAGTTTAATTGAATTTTCTTTATATTATTTAAAGTTTTTATTTTCTAATATATATTTAATTGAAGAATTGACGAATAATTGAAATTTCGTAAAATTGAATATTGTAAACAAATGGATTTGAAAATTATTAAAAATAATCAATCTAAATCGAAGAATATTAAATAAATTCAATTATTTTTAAAAAATTCTGATAACATTTTTCGAAAGAATTCAATTATTTTTAAAAATACTAAAATTCTTCAAAGGAATTCAATGATTTGCAATAGAATAATTTTAAAATTGAAAATATTTGAAAAGAAAAATGATTAAAAAAGTTAGGAAACAAATTATCGGAATACAACGATTATTAATATTGATAATGAAATTCATAGAAAAGTTTTAGTTACAAACACTAAAAAAAATTTATTTTGGCACAATTACAATTTATTGCAAAAATTCAATATTGTTTTCAAATTTAATTATGTTCAAAAATAATAAAATTCAATTATTTTCATAAATCATAAAACTCATCGCAGAATTTCAATTATTTTTAAAATAATTTCAAAATTCAATTATTTAAAAGTTTGTTGATAAAATTCTTTATTAGAATTGAATTTTAAGAATCATTAAATTATTTTTATTTTTCTTCTTTAATAATTGAATTCTAGTAGATTTTTCTAATAAACATGATTTAAAAATGGATTTCAGTTAAAATTTTAGATAATAATTGAATATTAAAAGCAATATAGCTTTAATTTTTAGAAATAATTAAATTTTGAAATTAATTTTTTTGAAAAAGTTAAATTGCGGATTTTTTTTTGAAATTATTTAAAGTTTTTATTTTCTAATATATATTTAACTGAAGAATTTACGAATAATTGAAATTCGTAAAATTGAATATTGTATACCAATGGATTTGAAAATTGTCAGAGACTTTTTTTGAAAATTAATTGATTTAAAGAAGAATTTTAGTAAAAAATTCTTGAAAATAATAATTGAATTAAAATGATGAAAATAATTTTGAAGAAGTACAATATTTTTCTATAGTATAAAATAATGATTTTATCAATTTGCCATCTTGAATTATTATAAAACATGAAGAAATCGATCACTCGATTTCTATCGATATCTATCGATATCTTCATGTTTTATAGTTATGAAAAATTTAATTTATAGTTTTAAGTAAAATGTTCTCTTTTTATTTGATTCGTTATTTTTCTGTCAGTATTTGGTCCGTAATTTTTTACTTTTGGTCCGTAAAGTCCGTATTTTTAATTTTTAAATACTTTATGGTTCGAGCCCTTAAATTGGGACATTTACCATAAACAGTTTTATAAAACTATGAAGTTTTTAATTAACTTTTTAATTAAATTTTTACTGTACAAGTTGACAATACTTATTAGGTAGTTTCTTTTTATTTCAATTTAAAAAAATTACCAAATTAATTAAATAAATATTTTTTTTTCACAGGCAAACGCTTATTGAACGTGTATTTCGAGAAGTTTGTCCTCGCAAAGCAGACAGCGTAAGTTTTGGATACGATTATCCTTCGTTATAAGCTAACTCGTGACTTTTTATTATACGTTTATATATATATATAAATATATCAATGAAAATATACATAAACATATAAATTAAAAATCCGTGCATAAAATGTACAACTACAATATCATCAGTTGCATACCATTCATAGATTACATGTCGTTTGTAAATCAAATTTTTACAATAGTTATGCCTCCTTCTTGACATTATCTTTTGTAAAATTATTCTTTACAAATCCATGTCTGCTAGTTTAAGAAGAAAAGAAAGAGAAATGGATTAAAAAAATTATACCAAAATGTTACTTAATAATAATAGTAATAATAATTAAGTTACAGTAAAAACATTTTTCGAAAATGCTCCGAGATATTTTCAATACAATTATTTCATCTGAAGAAAAATGCAGACATGAACTTTTATTTCAATCTGCTGTAAGAAAAATATTCTTGAAAAATATTCTCGAAAAAATATTCTCGAAATATATTCTCGAATGAAAGACAAGTCATAGAAAAAGAATTATCGAAAGTCCACATAAATATCGTATTTAATCGTTATACGTATAAGTTTTTTGAGAATTTTTTTACAAGTGCATTGCGGAAATTGATTCGATGTTCAATGAAAGAATATTTATCTGCCCATGCACTATCAATATAATTATATAAATACTTTGATCATTTCACGTTAATTTTGACGACAGTACAATTATAAATAAATCATAAATATTATAATATAAAGCAATTTATCACGAGGGTTTGCAAGAAACTTTTTATTGCCCGAAAAGGAGAGAAAAAATTCCTTATCAATGTCCGTAAAATTTTCACCTATTATATGAATTTTGGAATTATTAGTTATTCGTAGATTTGTAAGTAAATATAGGGTAAATGCACTAGTAGTCGGACACTTAAGGATACAATCTTAAATTATGGTTTTTTTCTTGAAATAGCAAATATCTTCTGTGTTTATAAGCACATTATTAATTAAAGGAGTTCTTCAGGATTAAAAATCATATAAATTTGTTACAAATAGTTGAGTATTTAATAAAATATAAACATTTTAATAAAAAATTACAAATGCTTTAGTAGTCGGACACTTTTTCCCCTTGTTTCTATAGTCGGACATCTGTCAGATATTTAGAATTTATAAAGTAAAAAAGATAATTTTTTAATTGCTATCTGCTGAAAAATGGAATTAAAGCATATTAGAAGTTATTAATATAATATTTAAACCCTATAAGTTTTAATATTTATGATTAATTATCAACAAAACTTTGTGCCACTCATCGCGCTACTCGAAAATGGTTGTATCTATAGTCGGACACCATGATTTTTAAAACATTAAATAAAATATTTCTTGTTTAATTATTTTCGAAAATAACACTATTTTAATAAAATATAAACTTCACACATTCGTCTAGTATACTTTTTAAAGTAATTATCACAATGCATTATTATTTATTTGCCAAAAACACGAAAGTGTCCGACTACTAGTACTGTCCGACTATACCCGCACTTACCCTAGTCCTTCCCAAAAATACAGTTTGATTAATTTCAGAATTACATTCTTTACGATTTTTAAAAATTTTCCAAACAATAAATATTTTTATGTTCTTCTTTTTAAGTTCTTATTTTCCTTTTTTAGTTCTTATTAGTTTTTTAAAAATAAGAGAAATTTTTCAAAAATAAATTTTTTTCATTCATTTTTATTATGTTCTTATTTTTATTGCAAGAAAAAAAAACCACGGATTGTAATTCATGAAAATTTTACTATACAGTCTGCAATTGCAAACCCCTAGATTTAGAAAAGTAGAGTTGTTGAATTTTATAATGAATTGTCGTATTCGAGAACGAAGCAGCCTTGAATTTTGAGTTGTTTGAAAAAATCTCTTCGAAATTCGAGTCTTTGAGTTCCTCGATTATTGCACCACTACGATTTTTATTGATATAATAATAGAAAATAATAATGAAATGGACAGAAAAAAATGAAGGGATGACGTATAAGAGCATAATAATCGAATTGTTTATTCAAACAATAATTAAGCATTAAACCAATTGCATTAACATTTAAAAAAAAAAAAGATTACAAATTTATAAACAAGCTGAAACAATAAATAAAATTTCAAATCTCGTACTAATATTTTGTGCGAAGATGAAATTATAATGATAAAAAAAAAAAACGTGTACAGACCGAGTGTTCGGAAAAAAAGAGATGTAGATAAAAAAATTAAGCGAATTGTTAGGCGCGGGTAATAATGAGAAGAAAATAACTTTTATGTCGTATATTAACATATTCTTTAAATTTCCTTAATGGAGATTTCGAATATTTCTATTCTCTGCCATGTTGACAAAATGCGTAATGTAATAATGTATTGATAAGTATATATGTATATTGTATATAAATATATATACACAACACATATACATATATATATATATTTTTTTGTAGTTGTAGAAAATTGCGCTCAGATTATTAACATAAGTGAGATTGGACACTTTTTCCTTCTTATTGTTGTTCCTTAAAAAACTATTTTTTTTTTTTTTTTTGAAAAAAAAGACTCATTTTTTTGAGATTTATTCTCGGATTTATTCTAAGTAAGTTTATTTTCATAATTTCCAGTCCTGAATAGATTGGACTAATTTGTACATATTTAAATTTAACCGAATCGTATTTTCAAATAATTTATTTGTCCTACAATCTTTTAATCTATTTTTCTATTTAACATTTATCTAACATTAGTATGGGAGAAGATATTAGATTAATTTAAAAATTATAGGCTTAAAAATTTCGAGTTAAAAGTTTAACAAATATAAATCAATACCTACATTGTTAACATGAATAAAATAAAAAAAATTGACAGATTTATATTCAAGGAAGAAAATAATATTAAATATAAAAGCAATAGAAGCAAAAGTGGGTAAGTCCGAGGGAGATGGCCATATTTTTTTAAGGGATTGTAAAAATTATAAAAAAAAGCGTTTTTTCAAAACTGTTATTGATAAATAAACATTAAATACGTTTGATTTTAACTTTCGCCACAACCTACGAATAGATTCAATTTTTTATAATAATTGTTTATTTTCGAAAGTTATTAAAGTATAATAATTATTTTCAAAAAATTGTAATAAAGAAATTCTTAAAATGATTTTTTTCAAAATATTTATAAATATTTTTTGAAAAATAAGTTTTAATTAAATGTAGGTACAATTAAAAAATTTTCAAATAGTTGAATTTTGATAAAATTTACAAATAATTGGAATTTGATCAAATTTAATAATATAATAATTGAAATTTGATAAAATTTATTAAAAATAATTGAAATTTGATAAAATTTCCAAATAATTGAAATTTGGTAAAATTTCCAAATAATTGAATTTTAATAAAATTTCCAAACAATTGAATTTAAATAAAATTTCCAAATAATTGAAATTTGATTAAATTTCAATTATTTAGAAATTTGATGAAATATATTAAAAATAATGGAAATTTTATAAAATTTCCAAATAATTGAAATTTGATAAAATTTTCAAATAATTGAATTTTAATAAAATTTCCAAATTGAAATTTGATAAAATCTATTAAAAATAATAGAAATTTGATAAAATTTCCAAATAATTGAAATTTGGTAAAATTTCCAAATATAATTGAATTTTAGTAAAATTTCAAATGTTTTGGAATTTGATAAAATCTATTAAAAATAATTGAAATTTGATAAAACTTAATAATAATAATTGAAATTTGATAAAATTTATTTAAAATAATTGAAATTTGATAAAATTTATTAAAAATAATTGAAATTTGATAAAATTTATTAAAAATAATTGAAATTTGATAAAATTTCCAAATAATTGAAATTTGATCAAATCTATTAAAAATAATGGAAATTTGATCAAATCTATTAAAAGTAATGGAAATTTGATAAAATTTCCAATTAATTGAAATTTTATGAAATTTATTAAAAATAATGAAAATATGATAAATACTTTAAAAAAATAAAAGAATTTTTGAAAAAATATTTTAAAAATAATAAAATTTTTAAAGAATTTTAATTATAAAATAATATGAACATGTTTTTTCCAAAAATTTTATTAAGTCTGAAAAATTAAATTTCTAAGAAATTTAATTTACTTTGTTCGAGGATAATTAATTGTTAAAAAATTTTAATAAAACATTTTTGAAAATTAGTTTTTTTTAAATATTGTAATTGTTTGAAAATCATTGAATTTCTTAAAAGAATTTCTGTAAGTTATAACTAGAATTTTCCTGTTATTTTTTTTGTGTGTATTTGATTTTTTTGAAATATGTAAGTGAAATTATTGAAATATTAAAAAAATTTTAAACTTAGAATGGAAAAATTCTGAGAATTTCTTTTTTTAAAAATATTTTAATATAATTTTTCAAAAGCAAATTTACATTAATTTTCATTTTAAAATTTACACTTGAAGATTTTTCATTAAAATTTTTTGAGAATTTAATTATTTTTTAAAATTTGCAATTAAAATTCTTCAAAAGTTGTTGATTTTCAAAAATTGTAATAAATTACTTAAAAAAAAAGGTAAACTAGGTATTTTTATTTAAATTTTACAGAATTTCAATTATTCTAAAATTTTTTAATTATACGGATGTTTTTAAAATTTTATTATCGTCAAAAAATGATTCAAAAAATATAATTTTGAAAAATTTTGTCTATAATTATTTTTCACTCTATAAATATCGAAATAAGTTGCATTTTGTACTGAAAATTTGGTATTTTGTTGCAACATTTGTCAAAAAGTCGAAAAAGTCGCAAATTTTTTAAAATAAGTCGAAAAAAGACGCATTTTTTGAAAATAGTCGAAAAAAGTCGAAAAAATTATAATATCCGAGGTGTGACTTCTGTAAAATATTTTAATTGGTCATCTACCTCGGACTTTACCCTAGAAAAAAAACTTACCTTGCCAGTATAATAGTTAAGCGCATAATAGATTTTTATAAATGAAAACTTAATTAGAAATGTAATCGTGAAGAGTGAGTTAGGAAAGGATATTTATTCCTGATTTATTGTTACATGTTTTTAGAGTAAAATAAAAATTGTTGTTTCACATTTTTAGCCGTCTATTTTCTGAAACAAAATTGTGTTTAATTAATTTTGACATTTTTCCTATAAAAATTGTGGCAAATTGCTATATTGGTTATATCTCTGAAACCTTTAATTTTCATGTCCCTCGCATATATTTTGATAATTTCAATAAATTTTTACTTGGTTTTTGTTGAAAATGTTAGAGCTTTATACGATGAATCAGTTCCAAAAGATTTTACCATAATTTATTAAATAGATAAATAATTATTCCAATTTGAATTCCCGATTTTTTTTTCAATGTCTATTTGTTCCTAGCCATTTTTTCGAATGATTTAAACGATAAAACTTTGTAATGAATCAAAATTACTAATTCTAAAACAAATCTTTTTAAAATTAATCGAACAGTCAATCCTTTCAATTAATATTTTTGACGCATTCCACAGAAAGCTACCTAAGAAGCAAAGAATTTTAAGGTTATGTTTGTCCTTTTCTTTATCTTAATTAAAAGTTTATCTGCTTAATTTAAAATTAAAAACAGGTTTTATTAATTATTTCAGATGTAATGAAGACAAGCATCAGTAGTTTATAAATTTAGAGTTGATCCTCTTTGTGTATTTTCATTTCGAAAATTCCAAACATAACCTCAAATTTTTTACTTCTTTCTTCGGAGCGTATCACATTTTGTTAATTGTGAAA